TCATCTATGTGAAATGTTAAATTCTTTTCAATCACTTTGTATATATATGCATATAAGTTTATGATCAAATGGGTTCATCAAGTGATATAAGTCCTCCTAAACTTAAAGGTCACGCCTATGTTGACAAATGTTTCAGATTAAAGGATGGTCGAGGAAGTGGAATTCATGTGGATTGTGGAGGAACGAAAGGAGAAATATTCTTCATTTGTATAATTAAACAAAGTTGTAGAATTTATAGTTCTTACTAGTTATGCAACTTATGTTTAATGTCTAAAAGATGATAGTTTATCTTTACTTTTTAGAAGACTTCTTAGTTCTTTTTCTTGATGTGAACATTGAAAATTTTAATTGGTTTAAATATCCATGAAATTAAAGTTGCTAGTGGGATTTGAAAGCCTATACGTTCTCTGTCCGTCGGCATGGGAATCAAGTCAATTGAAGATCAGTAGGATAAAATATGCCCTCTTCCGTGTGATGTGTTCGGTGTACCCAAGAACTTTCATTTTTTTTTCATATGTTTGAGTTCCATTTGAGAGCATCAATGATGTTAGAAAATTATGAAATTTTACTTTGTTGTACTTGAATGAGTTTAGGAAATTCTATAAAAATTTCATAGAATTATGCATCCGAAGAATGGTCCGACTAAACTTGATCATTGGATATCGCATTGCTAGATTTAACTCCGTTAATGTACCCTAAACTTCATTTTAATCCTATATTTTAATTTCGTTATCTAAAAAAAGAAAGTTGTCTACCTTAAATCATTTGTTTCCAATAATTTTTGAAACTTGTAATCAAACATAAGGGTAAACTACAGAATAGAAGGAAATTAAGGGAAAAAAAATTTAAATTAACCCAAATTTAAAAAAAAAAAATGCATGTTGTTTTTGTAGCAATTTCAGATTTCAAGCTTTGATTAGTTACATTAATGGACTCCTAACTTATCATTTTTCTTTTTTTAATTATACATTCTCTACAAAATTACATTTTATGAAATTTATTAAAAAAAAAATTACATCAAACAAATCCTTTCTAAAAAAGTAGAAGTTAATGAAAATTATATGCGGATGTGCTAAATAGAATCTCATAATCTTTGACCACTCTAGAATTATGAAAATATTAAGGGATTATGTGTATCTATTAATCAACAGCATGGATCACTTTTAAGGGAGTATCGTGCAGTATCCGTGTTATGTCTATTTACCTTCTATAGATGACTTAAAAAACGAATTCGGCAAGAGAAATTGTATACTAAGGGACTCCTAACTTTTTTACATTTTTTTTATTTTTATTTTTTTAAATTATACATTCTATAAAAAATTACAACCAACGAAAATTATTCAAAAATAAATTTTCATCAAACACATCCTTTGTAAAAAGTAGAAGTTAATGAAAAATTATATACAAATATGTTAAATAGAATCTCGTAATCTTTGACCCACTCTAGCATTACAAAAATATTTTGTGGATTACGTGTATCTATTGATCAATGGCGTGGATCATTTTTTAAGAGATTACCATGCTGTATTTGTGTTATGTCTAATTTATCTTCTATAGATGAATTAACAACCAAATTCGACAAGCGAAATTGTGTGTTAAGACTCCTAATTTTACTTTTTTTAATTATACATTTTTCAAAAAATTAAGTTTTGTGAAATTTATTTTGAAAAAATATACATAAAATAAATCCTTTTAAAAGTAGATGTTAATGAAAAATATATATGCAGATGTGTTAAACAGAATCTTATAATCTTCAACCCACTCTAGAATAACGAAAATATTTAGTGGATTATGTGTGTTCATTGATCAATGGCGTGAATCGATTTTTAAGAGAATACCGTGCAGTATCCGTGTTATGTCTAATTTTTTCTTCCATAGATAAATAAACAAATGAATTCAGCAAAAGAAATTATGTGTTAATGGACTCCTAACTTTCTTTCTTTTTTAAATTGTACATTCCCTAAAAATTAAGTTTTATGAAATTTATACTACAAAAATTTAAATCAAACAGATATTTTGCACAAAGTAGAAGTTAATGAAAAAAAATATATGCAGATGTGTTAAATAGAATCTCATAATCTTTGACCCACTCAAGAATTACAAAAATATTTAGTGAATTACGTGTAATTATTGATCAATGGCGTGGATCACTTTTTAAGAGAGTACTGTGCGATATCTGTGGTATTTCAATTGTGTTAATGGACTCCTAACTTTTATTTTTTCTTTTTTAATTATACATTCCCTAAAAAATTATGTTTTACGAGATTTATTCGAAAAAAATTTACATGAAACAAACCCTTTGTAAAAAGTAGAATGAAAAAAATATATACAGATGTGTTAAATAGAGTTCGGGGAGTGGAGGTACTGGTGAAGGATATATTGTTGCAGGAGGAGATCATGGGGCAGGAATTTGGGCAGTGCTGGTTTTGGTTCAGCATGTAAACATGGAGCAGGAGGTGGTAGTGGCGGAGGAGGAGAATGTGCTGGCGCTGGTGCTGGTGCTGGTGCTCGTGCTGGAACTGGTGAGGCAGATGGTGGCGGGTATGGTGGAGGTGTAGGTGGAGGAGATGAAGTGTCATGATTTGAATTGATTGAAATGGTGCAAGAAGGAAAGAGTTAACTGGACAATTAATATTTCCATCCTCCACACTGGCATTAAATGAAATGGCATGCATTTGGTGAGTAATGGACAATGACGGAGCAAAGTTCAGTGGCTAATAGGACGCTTTGTGAACTTCGGCGAGTAAGCCATAACATGGTGCAATGTTCAATAGGCATTCAAACATTTGACTTGTGCAAATAATATCATGGTTTGAAACCATGTTGAAAATCTCTGGAATTCCATGCTTGATTTCTCCCCATACACAAGACATGTAGCTTACACAAAACGTCATCATTATCACATTGCTGGGGCGGGACTAACACTTTTACACTGTGCTTTCTTCCTATACAATATCACCTCTCAAGGACCAAATTTGTGGGCATTCTTATGCTAAATCTTTCTCGATGTTTATTTCTATCTTCACTGTCTGATCATGGAAATTAAAGATGTCGAGCAGTGGATCTTTGGCTTCCCAGTACACCTTTGCTAATTTTTTGAGCTCTTTTAAAGCTTTGTAGCTATAACTTGACCTCAAATAACCATTGTCAAATTTGCATTATTACATCTAGTGAAGCAAACTATTTCATAGGCTACTTAACAAACGCAAGATAATGAGATTCGTAGGCAGCTCTGTGAATACAAATTTAAAACGTTTGATTATCATCTTTAGATTCTTTCCCAAAAGAACCCTAACTTGCCTATTGTAATGTTCGAAACAAGAACACGCTCTCAACGCTCTCAGATGCTTTGATCATCAGCATCCAGAGGCCAACTAGGATTCTCCTCCTCTATCAACATCTTGAATCATCACCTTTTTCTTCGTCCCCGTCCCCGTCCCCATCCCCATCCCCATCCCCATCCCCATCCCCATCCTCTTCATCACTGCTGTTATTGGGATGAACATCATCCTTTCAAGCGATCCGTGCACAAAATCCTCAACAGTAGCTGCCATACTCCAGACCTGGTTTGGCTTCTTAGGGATCAATGCGGGAAACTACTTTCCAGAATTCCTTAGCAGAGTTCTTCTCATCGGCTTCTGATTAGGATCATGGTCAGTTTTTTTCCCCAGAATATTCGAAGTTCATAGTTGATGGCAATAGAAAGTTATTATTTGAAAAATGGATAAAATTGTCCAATTACTCTAGTCACGTTATGAACATATTTTTGAAATAATTTATTTATATATAATAAATTGTTCAATAAAGCAAGGCAACATGATCTAGAAGGGTAATACATAATTAATGTGAAATTGTTTCAATTGATTATTGACTAGCGTCAAAGCGTTTCGATTTATAACTGGCGACATCTGCGAAACAAGACGGGCAATATGTAATAAACTTGAGAGCGTCTTAATAAATTGGTGGCAACTCTTAAAAATTTCTTTATTGTAACTTTTAGTTTAATTAATAAAATAAGAAAAAGTCACATCAGCTATCGGATAATGGAGTTTCTATTTTTTATCAATATCAAACGTAACTAAATATTCCAAACATCAAGAAAATGCATGGGCTATAAAATTATTATAAATCACATATTTTTAGTTTTTATACAAGTTTTTCTTCTCGTCACATTAGAGACTTCAGTGACCTTGCTTTAATTGAATTTCGGGCTCTTTTCCTCCAACTCTCTCCAACCTCCTCATCTTCTACCCCATACTTGATCTCGAATTCTTCATTGTTGATTTGAGAGTGTACATTCTTGTCGACATTTTTTGGAACGTCAAGACTGTTCTCGCCTCTCTTCTTGTCCCATCATGGTCCAAAACCTGAATAGTAGTAAAAATCATATAGATTTGATGTCCAAGCTGCCTTGTTGACCCGTGGCCTGCACTAAGAGTCAGCCGCCACCTTATCTTGTTTCTTCTTTGTTGGAAGAGCTCAGTTGTAGTTCCGCATTTTGCAATAAGTGGATCATTTTTTAAGAGAGTGCCGTTCGATATTCGTGTTTTGTGTAATTTACCTTCTATAGATGAATTTAAAAAAAAATTTAGGAAGAGTAATTGTGTGTTAATGGACTCCCAACTTTACCTTTTTAATTATAATTTTTTCAAAAAACTACGTTTTATGAAATTTATTCGAAAACAGTATACATCAAATAAATCCTTTGTAAAAAGTAGAAGTTAATGAAAAAATACATACAGTCGTGTTAGGCAAAATCACGTAATCTTTGACCCACTCTAGAATTACAAAAAATATTTGGTGGATTAGTATATCCATTGATTGAAGGTATGAAGCACTTTTTAAAAGAATACGGTGCAGTATCGGTGTTATGACTAAATTACTTCTATAGATGAACTAACAAACAAATTCTACAAGAGAAATTGTGTGTTAATAGACGCCTAACTTTTTTTTTTTTTTTTTTTTGGTTCTAAATTCTTAAAAAAATTATGTTTTACGAAATTTATTCTAAAAATTGCACTTCATACAAATATTTTGTAAAAAGTGGAAGTTAATGATAAAAGTATATACAGATGTTAACCACTCTAAAATTTCAAAAATATTTAGTCAATTACATGTATTTATTGATCAAAAGTGTGGATCACTTTTTAAGAGAGTGCGGTGCGATATCGCTGTTTTGTCTAATTTACCTTCTATAGATGAATTAACAAACAAATTTGGCAAGAGAAATTGTGTGTTAAGGGACTCCAAACTTTTCTTTTAATTATTCAATCTCTAAAAATTTACATCAAGCAAATCCGTTGTAAAAAGTAGAAGTTAGTGAAAAAAATCTATACAGATGTGTTAAATAGATGTCGTAATCTTTGACCCACTTTGAAATTTTGAAAATATTTAGTATATTACTTGTATCTAGGTGTGGATCCTTTTTTGAGACACTACAGTGCGGTATCTGTGTTATGTCTAATTTACGTATAGATGAATTTAAAACAAATTCAGCAAGAAAAATTGTATGTCGACTTAGTATCCCATGAATATGGACCAAGCATCACCATATTAGTAAAATCCCAATTCCAAAATTAAATCTTTGGACAAAAAAAAAAAAAAAAAAAAAAACTAGCTATGTACTACATTTTTGAAAATAAAAGACTCATGATTTCTAATTTCGTCCCAAATTGAAGGGGTTAACAATTCACAGAGACAATCATGATGTCAATGAAATGGATTTTAGGGGTTAGGGCTTGAGTTTGTGGCGCTGGAGGTACTAGTGGAGGATATATTGTTGCGGGAGGAATGGGGTAGGGTTTGGAACAATGATAGTTTTGGATCAGGATGTGAACATGGAGCAGGAGGTCGTGGTGGCAAAGGAAGAGAATGTGGAGGTGCTGGAGCTGGACTTGGTGCTGGTGTGGTGGATTGTGGTGGGTATCGTAGAGATGGAGGTGGAGGTGGAGGAGATAAAGTGTCATGTTTTGAATTTGAAGTAATGGCACTGAGTTGGAAGGAGTTAACTGGCCAAATCATATTTCTGTCCCCCATATTGACATCAAATGAAATGGCATCCACTCGCTGAGTATTGAACAATAATGGAGCAAAGTTCAGCGGCTAATGGGACACATTGAGAAGTTCAATGATAAAGTCGTGACATGGTGCAAAGTGCAGTAGTTATTCAACATTTAACTCATGGCAAAGAATATCATGGTTTAAAAGCATGTTTAAAACTGGGGCTGAGCAAATCTTCCGAACCGAACCGATTGAACCGAACTCGAAGGTTATTCTCAAGTTAAATACCCGAACGGATATCTGAATTGAGAACCAACGGGTACGGTTCGAATCTCGGTTCTAGACCAAGAACCGAAGAACTGAATCTTCCTAATTTTTTTTATATTGAATAAATCAAATTATTTTAATTTTTTCTAAACAAATTAACAAATTAGGTGATTGATTGATACTCCATCTCCCAATCCCTAGCCTAGCTAGCTTGACCCAACCCAACCAATTTCTAAATCCAATTTTTTGGCCCAATTATTTGTTTCATTTCTAATTTTTTAATTTTTAGCCCAGGTGCCCTTTTTATTCTTCCATTTCTTAGCCCAACACCCAAATGATCCAATCCACTAATGACTACCCTAAATAAATTACACACATTATCACCTACACATAACACATCTGACATTCCAAAACCCAAATAGAAGTATAGAACCTCCGACTCTGAGTCCGAAGCTGTGACCTCTGGGCTCCGAACATGTACGACCTCCAACCGTTGATCATTTGAACAAGGTAGTGTGTAAGCTTCCCTATATGTGATTGATAAATTATTCTTGTTGGACAACTTGTTATTTACATGCTATTAAATTGGACTACGTTAGTTTGTAAAACTATGATTGAATGTATCATTAGTTGTATTTATGTAGTGTTGTTATAAATGTTAAAAATTTAATTATAGTACGGAACGGAACGGAACCGAACCCAAACGGTTCCATAATTATATTTGGACCCGACGGTTTCATTTACTAAATACCCGAAAATTTTTAGTTCGGTTCTCTTTAAAATCGAACCGACCCACGCCCAGACCTATTTAAAACTTCTGGAATTCCGCGCTTGATTCCTCCCCATACACACCACAACATGTATCTCACACCAAACGTCATTGTCATCACATTGTTGGGATGGAACTTACCTTCCTATACAATATTACCTCTTAAGAATGAAATTTGTGGGCGTTCTTATGCGAAATCTCTCTCAATGTTTATATCTATATTCACTGTCTGATCATGGAAATTAAAGATGTCAAGTAGTGAATCTTTGGCTTCCTAGTACACCTGTGCAGATTTTTTGACCTCTTCTAAAGCTTTCTAGCTATCACTTGCCCTCAAATAACCATTGCTAAATTTGCTAAGCAACTTAACAAACGCAAATAACGTGATTCTTAGGCAGCTCCGCGAATAAAAGTCTAAAACATTTGATTATCTTTGTTAGATTCTTTTCCAGAAGAACTCTAATCTGCCTATTGTAATTCATGAAGTGCATAAGAAATTACAGTTTATGATGAAATGGGACCGTCACAAGGCAAAATAATGTTTT